ATGAAGGCTTTGTGCAGAACCAAACACATTTTTTGAAGGACCGAATACAGAGACCTGGTGTACTACGTTCCACAAGGTCTCCAAACGACCCACCACGGGTTTTGAATTCACAGTTGTCATTCTCCTAGGCCAGTTGCCATCCATGGCTATAGAACCCAGTCTGTCCTTCTATTTACCCATAGCTGGAGAGGGAAGAAGAGATCAATAGATTTATATATATATATATATAGGGGGCACGGTTGGGGGAGAGAGAAAGCATTATGAATATGAAGACAGAGAAGTAAGTACTAAAGATTGCACTCAAGGATGAAACAGACTGTCACTACTCGATCCCCATTCTTATATTTACAAATCCTCTTTCCCTGATATTGAGAACTTTTTCCCATAAATATAACATACCTTAAAATTATATATTTAATGGCGCGCGCACACACACACACACACACACACACACACACACTTGCTCACAGAATTGAAAACGTTGTTCTCCAGAAGCATTTGCTGATGTTTATAAGAAATATATATAATATATATTTCCAGGAAAAGTAAAACAAGTCTTAGAATTTTAATTTGGTCATAGCCTTACATAGATGTTGGGCACCTCGACGTGTCGTAATCATTATCAAGCCTGTCTCACTCGATTAATTACGACTGAATACTGAAATCGATCCTCACTGGGTACCTCATACTTTCGGCTATGTGACACATGTAACCTACGTTTAGAAAATCATCATAGACTTACATAAATGCAACCGTAAGTTCTATGTTAACGGTTTCTTCTATCGAACTTTTCTCTTGTGGAAATCTTTTTCATGTTGTTTGCTTTCCAATTAAATTTGATCTTGAAAAATTTAAATGCAATATTAATCGATACATTTTGTTTTCTTAATATTTTAATTCCTGTCTTTTTTATCTCTTTAATAATGTTTTCTTTTTTCACATATTCTGTCACACTTAACAACCCCTTGTCTTAATGGATTGTGGTGATATGATTAAAAGATTATGTTGTCAATAAAGCAATTTTTTAAAATTTTACACGAATTCTCGAATCGGTAGCGAATTATGCATCGAAAAATAATTCATATTTATCTGTATCTCACTCATTTAAACCGTTATTTAACTCCACTCTTTAAAACTTCTCTCTGTTAAATTTTAACCCCCACCTTCACCTTTAGGCCTTCCTGTTCTTCTTTCTTCTATTACACCCTCTCTCTAGAGCTTTCATACATTTCCCTCTCACACTTGTTTCCCACTCCCACATATACACTCACACTAAAATTTTGTTTTTTAGACCCGGAGTTATATTTTCCGATTTCTTTTTGAATTTGTAGGTCTGATGAATTGGATCGTGATTACGATTCCAATGTAATAAATTATAACCATGGAATATTAGTGTTTCAGCCTTTTTTATTATATTCTTACTCTGTCCTGGACTACCTGCATTCTATCCTCTTGGGAATTTATTTATATACATACATATATTTATATATATATATATATGGATTGATATATATATATATATATATATATATATATTATATATATATATATATATATATATATATATATATATATATATTGCAATCATAAGCCTGGACAATGAAAATGACACAAATGTCAGGATTTTGTGCACATATTATTGGCAAATAAATGAGTGGGAATTTTATAGTACCGAATATGTGGTTTGCAGTAAGGGCAATAAATATAGTTTCTGTATGACAGAGGATGGGTGTTGCTAAACAGGAGGCAATACCTCGAGGCCGCCAGCAAGCATAAAAATACATTTTGATTAAGGAATTTGACGTTGGATAACGTTCAGTCCTTTATCGACTTGCTTCTCTTCCTCGATACAATATATCTGTGTAAGCTAGCACGCCTTATAGGGTAATGTTACGCTCACGAAGCAAACGGTCTCTCTGTTCGACCTCCGTCAGCCTGCACCCCCCACCATTCTGCAATTCATAATTTGGGTCACCTAATAGGCTTCTGCTTTAAAGCTATCCGCGTGTGTGTGTGTGATTGGCCAGGAATGTTTTTTTTTAGATGTTGTGCAATATTGCACAACATCACAACGAAATACAAATTTTATCACATCTACAATAAGTTTGTCATTGTAAGTTATCCCTGAAGCTGAATTTGGAGGAGATCGAACGTACTTGAGTAGGAGTAGAGGAGGCACGCTGGAGTAATGGATAGCGGCTTGGATTGAGAAATCGGAGAGCCGAGTTCGAATTCCAGTCGAATCCATTACCTAACACCCTTTCTTCTCCCTCCCGCTATGGGTAAATAGCAGGACAGACTGGGTTCTATAGCCTTGGATGGCAACTGGTCTAGGAGAAGGAAAACTCTGAATTCAAACCTGCTCTTAGATGAGGGTGAATGGAGTCTCTCTGAGCCTTGGTTGGCAATCCATTTAGTGATGGTGTCACGATAAAAAACACCCTTGATAGCCCTAGCGAAGCATCAAGAATTCAGCTATTTGACAAGATTATGAACTACACCAATCAAAGTATTGGTGAGTTCAATCTCGGCTGAGGCCGCAAGATGATGATGATGATGATGAGTAGGAAAGAACTACAGCGCCTTCCTTGATGAATACCATCTTAACATCATGAAACTGATTAGAAAATTGGGAATGAACAGTATAAAAATATACATAATATGTATATATTATTGAATGAAACACACATATATATATATATATATATATATATATATAAGTGAACATTAAAGTCAACACTCAGAGGCGACAGGCTGTTTCATGCTCAACGCAATCGTCAGGCCGCGAATGATTTTTCCTCGACTATTCATGTATATGGGTCAGTGGTGCATTGTGGGTAATCTATTCTGACTGTTTTTTGTTGTTGTTTTTTTTTTGCGGAATTAGCTTGTATATATACCTGTGTATATACCTGCTTAAATACGTTCATCTAGGTTAATTTTTTTAATTTTTAATGTAAATAAGTGTTTATTTTTAAAGTATATTACTATTTATTTTTAATATAAATTCATGTTTTTGGTTTTCTTAATAAGTAATCTCTTTTTTTAAATAAAAAATTACATGAAAAAATGAATTTTCGCCACTCAAAAATATTATTTTTAATTTTCTTCTTTTTCACATACATGTATAAATCCCCCTTTGCCAAATATAAGATTTGAAATTAACAAACTATAATTCCAGCATATATATATATACAACATTGAGATAATCAGAAATATTAAAATTCAAATTGGGTTACGGTCAGTTTATACTCAGTACCTGAAGATTGCATTGTGCATGAAATTCCGATTCATCCTATAGGTGAGGGAAAATATGTATATGTATTAAAATATATATCTTATCTTATCTTATCTTACTTATTATAAAACGCAGATTGTGTGTGTGTGTGTGTGTGTCTGTAACGTTTATATATTGGATCGAATTTCCTACATTTTTCAACGGATTTCAACAAAACTTCACAGGACTACATAAAATTACCTTGCGGTGGTTCTAACAGCGCCAAAAATTGCAAAAACTCAATTGTTTTTTGCAGAAAATCAATTTGAAAACACGATTAAGAGGCATTAATGAAAGGGGGACAACTCACATCAGCTTAAAAACCCAGGTTGTGTGTGTGTGTGTGTGTGTGTGTGTGTGTGTGTGTGTGTGTGTTCATTTATATATGGGATCGGATTTCCTACGATTTTCAACCGATTTCAACAATTTTTTTTTTTGGCAGGCAGTGTTTCTTATTTTCTTGCGCACTTTTTTCTTTATTTTTACATTCAGAATGCTTTAAAAATTCCATTTACAAGACGATTGTTTATAATAAAATTCTATTCAATCAGTAGACTCATAACGATTGAAAACAATGTTTTTGTTTGAGTTTGACCAATTCGTAAAAAAAAAAAAAAACTAATTAAGACATGCGTGTCCGTCAACCTTAAAGAATAATCTAACGATCTCTACTGATTGTACGAATCCAAACATAAGATAATTCTTTAGGGCCGTTTTTATAATTCCCTTTGCAATTTGGTACAAGGCAACGATAATGAATTGGTTCTATTTGAAATTAATTCAATATTTAAAAGAAAGTATTAAGAAATAATTTAAAAATGCCGACGTAAGAAATCTGATAGACAAAAAACAAAAATATTTCGAAGATGAAAATTATTAAGGAAAGAACACAGTACTTAACTTGTACCCGACTTTTCTGCTAAATTCCATTTTTTTTTTTTTTTTTGGTTCCTGCAGGTAAGTCTTTTACGAGGGGCTTCTGTATGTCTTGCGTAAGGGTTTTCGAGAATTTTCGTCGTTTCATCAGCGAACTTCGACTCATAATTGACATTTTAAACTTCAATAATTGTCCACACGTTGGTGCTTTTCGGGCGCCAAGGTCATCCCCCTCCTCCTCTTACGGACGGCCTCCATACACGCACTAACGCAACAGGATACACAATATTTGCTAAGAGAGAGAAGGGGTATTCTCACTCTCTCTTCTTTCACGTAAGGTTTGTGTTGAGATGGGACGGTCACTATTACCGACCTTTCCCCTACATTAATGACAGCGATATCTACCGTGATTTCCTCTTTCGCTGGCCGATTTTTTTTAATAGAGAGTGGAACGTCACTCAAGGTCAACCATCTCTACTGCGTGACTCGGGCGTGCTTTCACACTTTTGCGTTTATTGTTGCCCACGTGCACGTACTTGGCCTACTTTATTCGCCAACTTCGGATACCGCAATTTGTTATTACGTGTTCTAGCTGCTTTTTGTTTTATAGTTCCAACCCAACCCCACACACGTTAGCCAATTGTACTAAAACCCCATTTCCTTTTGGATTTTTACCCTTGGTTTACCTTTTAAATTTCCACTTTTTAGTTTCGAGTTCCCTTGAGTAACATCTGAACTCATTTTACTAGGTGTTTCCCCTTTTTGTGTCTACGTTAGCAGTGCACGATTTTTGGATTTGTCGAAATCTCTTTTAAGCTTTACTCTCTTTGACGTTTTTACTGTTTGGATGCCACCTAAAAGGAGGAAACTTTTGGGACGGCGCACGGCAGCTGTCTCCGCTGCTAGAGCAGCGAGGGCGAGTGAAACCCCTGAACAGACTTCTTTGCGTCTTTCACGGATGGCCTCGAGCTCAGCTGCTCGCTTATCCATGGAAAGCACCGCTGCGCGGACTGAAAGGTTGGCTTCAGCGGCTTCAACTATGTCCTCACGCCGCGCCAGGCTTTCAGTTGAAGAACGTTCACTTCAGAATTCACAGGGCGCAGTCCGCGTGGCTAGGTTGAGGGCTTCACAGTCCCCAGCACAGAAAACCCTTCGTCGTTTGCGTGATGCCATCGTCAAAGCTTGCTCCAGGAGTTTAGAAAGCCCCGAACAAACAACTTCACGTCGTCATAGGAATACTAGGTCTACAGCCGCCTCTAGAGCTTTGGAACAACCTCAAGAAACCGCTCATCATCGCTTTAGAAATGCCCTATCCACCGCATCTGCCAGAGCCTTAGAAAGCCCTGCACAGACCACTGTTCGTCGCATTATAAATTCCCGCTTCACTGCATCTGCTAGAGCCCTAGAAAGCCCTGCACAGACCACTGTTCGTCGCGTTAGAAATGCCAGCTCTACTACATCTGCCAGGGTTGCAGAAAACTCTGAAGTACGCCGTCAACGGCTCGAAAACATTAGCTCATTTCGAGCTTCTTTGAATGGCGTAACTTCGCCGTCTGCATCATTTTGGTCAAATGTCGCATACAATTATGACTGCACTGTCAACTATTCCGCTAGGAGAGACGTACAAATAGGGGCCATGGATAAAGTTTGCACTTTTTGCAACGCAAAAAAGTGGGCCGGTGAGCAACCTGGGCTTTGTTGCTCTGGGGGCAAAAATCAAACTCCTTCTTTAGACGAGCCTTCCCAGCCACTTAGGGACCTCCTTCTGGATACAACTTCGGAGTCAACGCATTTTCTTGAAGCAATACGGAAGTATAACTGTTGCTTCCAGGTGACGTCTTTTGGTGCGAAAGCTATTAGTGAAGGGGGATGGATGCCTACTTTCAAAGTGCAAGGCCAGGTTTACCACTTAATGGGATCACTTTTGGCTGATCAGGGAGAGCCACCTCAGTTCCTACAAATTTACTTTCTTGCAGCCTACAACGAGCAGGTTGATGCGCGTCTCGGCATTCTTCCTAGCGATATTTCCATCGGTCCCCGTAGAGACATTCTGTTCCGTCTACAAGACATGCTTCATGAAACTAACAGTTACATCCGAAGCTTAAAGTTTGCGTTGCAAAACAACTCTTTGCCCTCTTTCAGCGTTGTCATCGATGCAGACAGACGGCCTCACGGTGAGCATGAGCGTCGCTTCAATGCTCCTGTATGTAATGAAATTGCCGCAGTCATCCACGGTGAGGAGCATAACAGCCGTGACATTGTCATAAAATACCGGGGCGGTGGTCTGCGCCGCATCAGTGAAACCCACCGTTCATACGACTGTCTCCAGTACCCCCTTCTTTTTCCATACGGAAGCGATGGGTACCACTTCAAAATCCAAATATACCAGGCAAGCAGCGATTCCATGTCGACCTCAAAGACGGTCTCCTGTAGGGCTTACTACTCCTACATGTTTATGGTTAGGGAGGGTGAATTTAACCACTTGCACAGGTGCCCTCAACTATTTCTTCAATTCGCTGTTGACATGGCTGTAAAAATGGAGTCGGTGAGGTTAGGATTCATTAAGTTAAACCAATCCAAACTTCGAACTGACTCCTACATTCACCTTCGTGATGGTCTGCGTTCTGATGGTGACCCACGCAATCTCGGCAAACTGTGCATTTTGCCTTACTCTTACACTGGTGGCCCTCGATATATGCATGAAAGGACACAAGACGCAATGATCTATGTCCGTCATTGTGGGAGGCCTGATTTGTTCATCACGTTCACGTGCAATCCGAAATGGGTTGATATTACACGCGAACTTTTTCCAGGTCAGCAGTACTCACACCGCCCTGACCTAATTGCCCGCGTTTTCCGGTTACAGCTGCGTAAGCTTATGGATTTGATCCTTAAAGGGCAAGTCTTCGGACGCGCCAAGTGTCATATGTACACAGTGGAATGGCAGAAACGCGGTTTGCCTCATGCCCACATCCTTCTGTGGCACAATGATAAGGTTGACGCAAACAAAATAGACGATTTTATTTCTGCTGAAATTCCGGATCCTGCGCTGGAGCCTTTACTCCACGAAATCATTAAAAAAAATATGATACACGGCCCTCGTGGTGCGAATTACGAAAAAAGGTCATGTTGGTCAAGCGGCCCCACTTGCGCAAAGGGTTACCCCCGTAAGTTTATCTCAGAAACGCAGACTGCAACGGATGGTTACCCACTGTACAGACGTAGAAGCCTCGCCACTGCCACTCGGTTAAGTCAATAAAGTACATCTGCAAGTACGTTAATAAAGGTAGCGATGCTGCCGTCTTCGGTATCCGGCGCGACAATTGCGTTGACGAGGTGGCCGATTACGTGGCTGGACGCTACCTCAGCAGTAGCGAGGCCTTTTGGCGAATTTTCGGATTCCCCATACACCAAAGGGCTCCAGCCATTGTGCAGCTTGCTGTTCACTTAGAAAATGGACAGAGGGTGTACTTCGCCGAACAAAACGCCCAGCAGGTTGCGGAAAACCCTAAAGACACAACCCTAATGGCTTTCTTTAAATTATGCTCAACAGATGCTTTTACCAAAACATTGATATACCCCCAAGTCCCGTCCTACTATGTGTGGTCAAACAACCGGTGGGTTCGACGAAAGGCTGGTGACCCTGTCGAGGGTTATCCCGATGTAAGGTCTAACTTTTGCCTTGGACGCATTTATACTGTGCCCCCCAGCCAGCAGGAGTGCTTTTACCTCCGCCTTCTACTTCATGAAATTGCTGGGCCAACGAGTTTCACAGATATTCGCACTGTCAAAGGCATAGAATGCCAGTCTTATAGAGAGGCATGCTTCCGTTTGGGACTGCTTGAAGATGACTCCCAATGGGATGCAGCCATGGCGGAGGCTGAACTTCTCAGAACGCCATCACGGCTTCGAACGCTAAGCGATCCTCTGTCGCTCTGGCTAAAGTACAGAGAATCCATGTCAGAGGATGTGCTGTTCTCCATTCAGCGTAACAGCCCAGGAGTTGAATGCGTTTTCACTGACTTCATATTAAACAGAGCGCTGGTGGCCCTAGAAGATGTTGTTTTCGAACTGGGGGGTGCCTCTTTACCAACTTACGGTTTACCACCACCGCTCAGAGATGGTTTTGACACTGTACCAACTGAGTTATTGCGGGAAACATCCTACTCCATCGAGGGGCTGAACGCATACATTACCGAAAATGAGCCCAAACTCCTACCTGATCAGAGGGTTGCTTTCACTACTATAACAGACAGGGCAAACGGCGCCATTGGAGGTATATACTTTTTAGACGCGCCCGGAGGAACTGGCAAAACTTTTGTTACTAAATTAGTCCTGGCAGAGGTACGGCGTCGTGGGGGAGATCGCTATTGCGGTCGCATCTTCCGGGATTGCTGCAACATTGCTACCGGGAGGTAGAACCGCTCATTCGGCTTTTTAGGTTGCCGCTTGATCTATGCCGGTCACAGACTCCTCTCTGCAACATAACAAAGAATTCGCCACAGGCTGAAGTTCTGCGGAGATGCAAACTTATAGTTTGGGATGAGTGCACAATGGCACACAAGGGCGTCCTTGAGGCACTTGACCGAAGTCTCAAGACATCCGCGACTCCTCCGACCCCATGGGTGGAGTAACACTTCTCCTCGCAGGCGACTTTAGACAGACTCTACCTGTTATTCCTAAAGGTAGACGCGCTGACGCTGTCCACGCCTGCCTGAAGTCGTCTGCCCTTTGGCACCACGTGGAGACTCTTAAACTGAGCACGAACATGCGTGCCTACTTGAACGGGGACTCCAGATCCGCTGACTTCGCACAGGACCTTCTTGCTCTTGGGGAGGGGAAAATGCCATCTGACACACACGGTTTTGTGAAGATGGATCAGCTTGCCACCACTGTTGAATCACCGGATGTATTGATGAATGCAGTCTTCTACAACCTATCATCTAATTTTGCCGATGCCGATGGCGATTGGCTTGCTGGAGGGGCCATATTGGCCCCGAAGAACTGTACAGTTGATTCCATCAACCTTAAACTGTTGGATTGCATTCCCGGGCTATATCATGTTTATAAGTCCATCGACAGAACTTCCGATCCATCTGAATTAGCTGATTATCCCATAGAAGTTTTGAACTCCCTTCAGCCGTCCGGACTCCCACCTCATATTCTTCGTCTCAAAGTTGGTGCTCCGATTATGCTAATCAGGAATTTGCTCCCACCTAAACAGTGCAACGGGACTCGCCTCATTATTAAATCCCTTTCTCCGAACCTGATTGAGGCGACCATTGCAACTGGCTGCGGCAAGGGGGAAGTCGTTCTGATTCCCAGGATGCATCTTCTGTCGTCAGACGCAAGCATACCAATCAACTTTCGTCGCTCACATTTTCCCGTGAAGATTTGTTTTGCTATGTCGATTAACAAATCACAAGGACAGACGCTTAGCATCGCAGGTCTGCATTTACGTGAGCAGTGCTTCTCTCACGGCCAACTTTACGTTGGGTGCTCACAAGTTGGGTCTAAGGACAGGGTTTTCATTTACTTTCCCAACAACTGTGCTAGAAACATAACCTACACGGAGGTCCTGTAGACAACCCGCCCGGTAGCGTTTAAGCAACATGCACACATATGCAGTCCGATTGCATGGCAATTTTTTTGTTTGTCATATTGGTTTTAACGTTAGGTCGTCGTAGTCTCCACTTGCCATTACTAAGACGTCTTTGTAAAGGTTATCCAGCTCTTTTGCTGCCTTCTGACTTTCATACCCGCCATCATCGCGTTTGTTTTCCCTTCAATCCCTATGTATGTTGCAGCTGAATCGTGGTTTCAGAACTACTTACCACAAGTGCTTTCAGTAATGCTTAACGATCCAATAGGTTAAAGCAGTAACTGCTGCCAGCTTTTACTCATAGATGTCTGAGTAATGGCAAACGGCTTTCCGTTACTTCCTTCGATACCTTCGAATACTTGGGCCTGCATGATGTCTGCCTAAACTTTGTGTGCATAGCGTTTCAACGTTTTGTAGAAACTTAGTTCCTGTCGACTTACAAAGCACATCTTTCAAAGCAACAGCCGTCCCCAACTCTTACTGTTACATCCCTGGGCAACGCCGGGCTCTACTGCTAGTACTTAATAGCTCTGTTATATTATATCGAACACTGTTTTATTAACACCAGCATTATATGTACGACATATTATAATTATATCTATATTTCCATATACTCGACTCTCCCGTCGAATTCGACGTATGAGGGTCAAGCAGATCAGTTCCCAGGAAACTGACAGCCCGCCAACAGCACACGAGATTTGATTATAGTGGTGAAGTTTCCGTGCAAGACCAGCCATACTTTTTGAAGGGCTGAATACAGAGATCTTGTGCGCTAAGTGCCACAAAGTTCCCAAACGACCCTCCGCAGGTTTTGAATTCAGAGTTGTCCTTCTCCTAGACCAATTGCCATCCAAGGCTATAGAACCCAGTCTGTCCTGCTATTTACCCAAAGGTATTAGCACATAATTAATGGATTCGACTGGAATTCGAACTTGGCTCTCCGATTCCTTAATCCAAGCCGCTATGAACTAGGGATTTTAATTTAATTTACTTAATGTAACGATGGAACCATATTTTTAAATAAGTAAATTTATAATATATATATATATATATATATATATATATATATATATATATATATATATATATATATATATATATATACACACACACAGCAGGGAGAGAGAGAGAGAGAGTAATAAGGACACCGAGGTGGTGTAATGGTTAGCAAGGCTGTTTCGCTAGAACAATTACGACTGAGTAGCAAGTTCGATCTTCACTGAGTGTCCCATACATTCGGCCTTGTGCCACTTCTAAGCTACGCTTGGAGATCACTATTTAAATAATAAAGACTTAACCTTCCCGTTGAGCTGCTGTCATAGAAAATGAAAGTGATTACAATCTTTTCGGTAAATAATAGTTTAACTTAAATATATTTTTTACATCCTTTCTGATAAAGCTTACTAATAACAGAGTTTAGCAAAAATACTCGCCACATTTTCAACTGTCCACTGTGTGGGGCTGGTCACCTTAGGCATGTGTCAATAGTGTCTCCATCTAGCTAATGTATTTCCCACCCTTTTTCCGTTGTTTTTTTTTTCTTTTTTTTTTTAGTGGCATATCAACACCTCTTTGGGTTATTTAATGCCCAAATCTAAATATTTTTGTACGCAATTTAATTTATTGGGGAGGGGTATAATAATTATTTACGTGATAAAAGTCTTACTAATTAAACCATACCTTGGAGGAGATGAGGTGTATTCACAACTTTTCCAAGCGTATTTGCAAGTAAGTGAATATAAATAAAGAACCCAATTTAATTGAAACCCGACTCTTCGATTAACAATTCCAAGCCATTATCTATTACACCACCCGCACATTCATGTTTTCTGCACCTGGTATTCCCAGGTGATCATACATCTAGGTAATAACCAGGCTCGACGTTGCTTAACTTCGGTGATTGTACGGGAAAGTGATGTAAGCGCAAACTCATTTTTCCAGATGCCATCGGTTACCATCATGGCTTGGAATGATGGACACCGTACGTTTGCTGTTGAAACGTTATTTTGTTGTCGTCGTTTTTTTATGTTTTTTTTTTAGTAAGACTGCCGAATTTGTAATTGCAACACGGAGAATTATTCCTGCTCATTTCATGTTATGACAGAATGATGTTGTTCCGGATAGAAAATCGATACGGCCATGAGGTGAACATTTCAGGGGCAAAGGTTAAGCGCTTAAAAGAAAGCCACTTGGTCGACCACGGAGCTGGTAATGGAAAACTTTAGAACTCGTCTGCAACAGTGTATGGTGAAGAGAGGTCACCATTTTAAGGATGTAAGTTTAAAAACGAAATGAATAAGACCTGAGACCCTTTAAATAACAGTGTAATGGATTGGTAAAAGAAAAAGGATTGTACCTATTTGCATATGTTAAGTAGAAAAGAAATCATATGTATAGTAAAGATAAGTTACAGATAGAAATTGACTACTGATCACGTGTCATAGAACAACACAATGCAGCAATATGACGTTACCGATATGATATTTAAGTCGCGTGGATAAACCAGAATTTGTTGAGACTTGGATCCGGTAATTTGTAGCCCAGGCTAGGGCTAAAGAAATTGAAAGCAACCATGCAAGAGAGGGAGAAAATAAAATAAGTGACTTCTTGCTAGCCTCGGCAAGTTGTGAAGCTATAGTGAAGATTTCTGTTATGGA